GAAACAGTAAAATAAGTTTATACAAATATTTGGCCACGGATGTATATACTTAATAGAATTTAAGTATTCTCTTATGTTCGAAAATGATCACTATGTTCTAACCAACTACTATAGCTCTGGCACTTAAGGGTTAAAGATTTGTTTCTCCTCTTATTTACGCTCGTAAAGACACGTTTCATTGCTGCTATGTCATTACTTTGTTCTATAGGGATGAAATGTGAACTTTAAGATATATAGTTTCCAAATTTTTCTATTTAATATATAGAAAAAAAATAATTTTTTTATTCATTTATAATTTTAACAATATTATTTCATTATTTAAATTTTTATGACTTCCAATTTACATTTAACTTTTCAAAAATATTAAAAAAAAATAATTATTAATAATATTAAATAAAAATAAATAAATAAAAAAAGAAGAACAATTTTTAAATAATTATCGTTACTTTTTTGTCATTATATTTAAATAAGAGTAAATTCTTTTAACAAATTAACACGTCAATTTCATGCTTCTTTACCAGGTTAAATTATAATCTTCCATTCTTTGATTACTTCTAATTATATGTTACTTATAGCTTCAGTGTCACAGTAATTATTAGGTCGGTACAAAAAATCAACACGTTGAACGAGTTATACAGTAAATCGCGTGAGCAAAATACATGTACGCCATTACGTAGTTTCCGCCAATCCATTTCATTTGAATTAATAACGGTCTCATTTTGATTCACAACACGTGACTTCAAAATGGTTTTAAATTCTTAGTCGATTTTTTTTTATTGATATTTCAATCAAAAAATATGCTTCCATTTCTTATATTTTCTTCTTTTTATTTTTTGTTATTCATTTTGTTAATATTTTTTTTATATATATTATTTACATTATACATTATTACATTATATATTTACATTACATACATTATATTCATATTCATATTTAATATTTATTAGCTTTTAATTTTAATCGATATTAATTGATATAATTATAAACAAACTATTTTTAGAAATTTTTTAAATTTTTAAAAATAGTTTGTATATTTAAAATAAATTTTTCTTATATTAAAAGTTAGATTAAATAAATTTAAAATATATATTTTTAATTTCTACAAATTTTGTATTAATATTAAAATAACTAAAATTCAATAGCATAAGTAAAAATATTAAATATTATTAATCTTATTAATTATAATGTATAGAATGTAAAAAATTATATATATATATATATATGTAAAATAAAAAAATAATGTAATTATCAATAATCGAATCACTTTTATTCGCAATATTTCAGTTGATACGAATTATTCGAACTATTTTTTTTGACGTTTAATTTTGTTTGTTAAAATTTTTTTTTAATGACATTTGATTAATTTAATTTTTTAATAAAATGTTGATAGCTCTGTTTATTTCTTGCAATATAAGAAATATTTTACTAATTATTAATATATATATTCTTTTACTATCCAAGTATAAAATTAAAATAATTAAAAAATTAATTAAAGAAATAACAAAACGATAGTTAAAATTCCTGATGAATGATAAATACGGTTGGTAGAATACAATATTATTATCATGGAAAATATTTAAAAGAATATATAATTTTATTTTCTAGTATTAGCAATAATAGTATAAATATATATCTATAAAAAAATTATAATTATTATAAATATTTAAATAAAAGTTCAAATTCGTTATATGAATGAAATAGAAAAAACATATGAAGAAGGAAAGGAAAAAACAAGTTTAAATGCATTAAGGCTGTTTCGATGTGTAGATACTGTCGTGAAAATGAACCATACTGACCATTCACCGTCAGCGATAATATTTTTAAATGAAAGCGATGAGAGAGGCGACTGGCACAATAAATATCGGGTTTAACGGAAAGACGCGAGTGTGTTCAAAGCACCACTTGCAAGTAATGGTACCTCTGTTCAGCTCCTTTTTCTATCGCTTCAGACGCCACCTCGTGGTATTCCCTTTAATATATCTAACTCTTCTTGTATATCGATACTTTCGCTCACTCATCTTCTGATACACTATTCCATCACAAGAAGTTTTGATAAAATGTCACGAGTACGATTTTTTTCATTACTTAAAAAAGAATGCAATTCTTCTGTTGCGTATATTCTTTGCGTATTCTTTTTATTAGTTTTAGATTTAAAAATTATATACTAAGTAAATTTTTATAAAATAAATATTACATATTTCTGTGTAAGACTAAAGTGTATATAAAATATTTAATTTTTTATTTTTTTATTATCTATAATTGTTGTTTATTAATAGAAAATTTATTTTTTCTTTGTTAGAAAAATTAAAAACAATTTTTTTTATATACATACTTCTTAAACTATAAACAAAAATTATTACAAATATGATATATATTACTTTTATTATATAAAGTACAATTTCAATATCATTTTATATAACATATAATTAATCTTATCTTAAAATAATTACTGTTCCTGCTATAAAATCCAGATATAACCTTCTCAAAACATTTTTCTTAGAAAGAAAAAAAAAGATTATTTTTCAAGAATTCCTTTGAATAAGACAATATATATATATATATATATATATATATATATATCTAAACGATATAACCATGACTTTTTACAGTAAAAGTTGACCCGGATAATTATATTATCCTAATTCAATTATTAGCACTTTTTTTTTCCCCCGCATTGCTCGTAACTACGATTTTTCGACTATCGTCTTGTCAGCCTGTGGTGTGTTGCAGTATTTTATTTATTCATACCGAGGGAACGTGTATGGGGATTGGGGGAAATTCAAAAGGAACGTTCGGAATGGGAAGCAGAACTAGTGCCAGCAACAGTGCTGATGGTGTTGAGACCGTCTAACGATGACATTTAAATGCAGTGCCGCGCATCGTTTGGTTCTTCGTGCCACGACGATTCCCTCCTTCCCCGTCTCTTTCTTTTTTTCCCTTCGCTCTCTGGCTCATCTCTACTCGAAATACGCAAGAATATTTTATAAAATATACGATATTTTTATCCTATTATTTTTATAATATATTTTATTTTCAAATTAAAAACAGAAATTTAATTTTATAATATAAATTAATCAATTATTTTTTTTTAATTTTATAATAATGGATTTAATATTTTTCATTTCTTTCTTGTTTTAGTATAATTTTGTAAATTATCGGAAGATCGAAAATAAATCAAAGAGCATTCAAATATAAGAGACTTCGGAGGGGCTGAGCAACGATGGAAGCTGCTAGACAGGAATGATAGGTATACAAGTTCTATGAAATTTTCTATATAGAAAAATTTAATTTTGATAACGGAAAGAAAAAGATAATAATTTTATTATATTAATGCAGAATGCAAGAGGGTAGCACCGCTGTGGCGCTAGCAATGGTGACTCCTGGCTACGATCAGGACCCTGCAAGTGGGGTTGCCGATTACACAACTCATCAAGATCAGGCTCAATTCGAAGCAGACAAGAGGGCAGTATACAAACATCCCCTCTTTCCATTGCTCGCGTTACTTTTCGAAAGATGCGAACAAGCTACTCAGAGCTCGGACAATTCAACGTCCGAAAGTTTCAACATGGACATACAGGCCTTCGTCCAACACCAAGAAAGAGACCGAAAGCCATTTCTGATCAATGACCCCGAAATTGACGGTTTAGTGAGTCTTTTAAATAATTTAATTTTAAAATATTTATATTATAATTTGCATTTGTATTGCAACTGTAACTCAATGAAATTTTTTTAAAAACTGAATTTAAAGCAATAACAATAATAAAGTTTTTTAAAAGAAAAATAGAAAATAGAGTAAAAAGATCATTAGATATTAAGATATTAAGATATTAATAAATTGTTTATCATTAAAAATTCAATTTATTACATAGAAAATATATATATTTATTTGTATTTATATTTTTGGAAAAAAATTTATTTTATATATATATCCAGTTCAGAATTATGTGCAAAAATTAAAATTTTTTTAAAATTAAAGACGTTAAGAAAATTATTTAAATTTAAAAAAAAGAATGGAATTTTTGAAAAACAAAGAAAAGATAATAAGCGATGCTACGCAGTTCGATATGAAAAGAAAATCGTTCACTCGTCTATATTGTTTTGTGCCCCTGCCAACGTAGATGATCAAGGCGATACAGGTGCTACGAATTCATCTACTCGAACTGGAAAAGGTGCAGGAACTGTGCAAGGACTTTTGCAACAGATATATCACATGCCTGAAGGGCAAGATGCAAAGCGAGAATCTGCTACGCAGCGATTACAGTCACCATGGACACGACATGGGTCCATCGAGTGGCAGCAACGGGAGCAGTCCTTTGCAGGTTAGATATTATTTTGAACGTGTAAAACGGCCTAGCCTGTTTCCCCCTTTACCTAAGTAGTTATCCTTTTTTTAGTAATGCGCAAGAATCGCGAATATAATCTCGAAACGCTATCTTTGCCTCTGTTTTAATTCTTTAAGTTGAAACTGTAACTAAATCTAAGTTTTCTTTTTATTAACATTACTACCTTGTATAGAAGTTACATTTTTAAAATAACAAGATGGAGTATCAAGTTATAAAATAGGAATAGAAATATTGCTTGAATTAGTTATTGATTAACTCTTGTAAATATTCTGATCTAAGTTTTGTGTTTAATGGTAGTTAATAAAATATTGAGGGGGAAATTTTGATGATTCTAATGATAACAAGTAATAAAAAAAAAAATATTTAGTTTTTATATATTAGTATTTGTGTAAATACATAACTGTTATATGCCATATATAATAGATCCTTTATAAATTCTCAAATTGTTCAATACCTATGTAAAAGACTAAATGTTTTCCAACTCTTTTCTGTCTCTCTTTAAAATTTCTTTAAAATCACTAAATAATTTCAAAATTAACAGCATGTTGTAAATTTAGATAAGAACAGTTTCTTAGTGATTTATATATATATATATATATATATATATATATATAAATCATTAA